GCAGTTGTTTTCCAGACTAAGAAGGTAATTGTCCCAGCAAATAAGGAAGTTTGCCCAGCCCGGTAGCTTTTATGGTAAGGAGTGAGCTATAGACTACTTTTGCATTAGCTACATACACAAAAACTATTCTGCTTTTGCATACAAAACAGGGTAAAAAAGGCAGGCGGGATCATTTATAATACTGGCTTATCTGTCTAGCTTAGGGCTTTCTAGATAGCCATCATGATAGTATCTATGTACTGAGTAGAGGACCTTCTGTATGTACAGGAGTGAAGAGTGGATAAAGCATAACGCTTCTGAATCATTGTCTGAAGTTTCATTTGGTTTTTCAAAGCGAATGCATCTTGTGTCACTCTTGCACACGTCAGGCATGCACAAAAAGCCATTGTTTGTGTTAGCCATACACAAAAGTGCACTTACATAAGTCAGGTGTGCACAATGGTGTGTATATTCTTATGCATTTTGGACCTGTATGTCTAAGTTTATACGTTGGTATGTTTTGTGTGGTCAAGTTATTTTGTTAAGCAATGTATGGGCTAAATTTTTGTTTAGTTGGCAGTTCAGTATTATTTTATTTTATTTTGACACATGCTGTTAATGGACGCAAATGTGAACGAGAGGAGATTAATTTAGAATGTGTTTGCAGCTTAATTTTTGCTAACAGTGAAAACCTGACTGAAATGGTCTGGAAAGGAAAAAAGTTTCAAATGCCCTTCTGCTCTAACTCCACAAATCCACCATATCCTGAGAAAATGAAAGACACAGTGATTTGATCATTATCAGCCTCATCTGTCACAATTTTTCCCAGCCAGCCAGGGAAGAGAAATGATGCCTCTTGACTAAAGCGACCAATCACATAATAGTAATAGCAAATGCCTCCAGGCTATGTCTACACTACAGGGTTTTTGTGCAAAAACGGCCATTTTTGCGCAAAAAACGGCAGAGCATCAAGCTAATTTTTGTGCAAAAAAATGTAGTAAATTGACAGGACAGAGGGCTTTTGCCGGTAGAGTTATTTCTTTCCCCTCGAGGAATAACTCTTCTTTGCACTACAGCTCTTGCGCAAAAAGGCAGATGTAGATGCTCCGCAGGGGTTTCTTGCACAAAAATAGCCTATCAGAAAAAGCACAGGTGCTTTTGCGATGCGCTTTTGAGGTGTGGACGCGCTTTTGCACAAGAAGTTTTTGCAGAAGATCTCTTCCGCAAAAAACTTCTTGTGCAAAAACCCTGTAGTGTAGACAAAGCCCCAGAGAACAGTTTATCAATAAAGCCAGCATATCCAATGTGATTACAGCTGGAATAGTGTATCCTGTTCTGGGTACTATATCGCCTCCAAGTTGTCAGTGTCATTCTAGTAGCTCGGAGAAGAGAACAGAATTTATCGGGGGCAGAAAGGATAACATGACTTATGGTGAAACATAAGAAAGGAGCTAGGCTAATATTTGCAAAGTCACTCAAGGAGATTGGGTGATATCCTGGATTTATTAAAGACAATGGCAAAACTGTCACCGAGTTCAGTGGACTTCACACAGGACATCACCCAATGGGAATTAATCATTTTTCAAAATCTCAGCCTAAGTGAGTATATTTGGGAGGGCAGGAGATATCTGAAGAATATAAAGTCCAAACACTGGAAGATGTTACACTCCAAGATAATTATTTGGGGTTCTGAACAGGGGTATAATTCTGAATAATTGGATAGAGTTAAGAGAGGCAAAATTTAGCCTGACATGGTCCATGCTTAAATCAATGCCAGAGACTTGGTTTCCGGAGATGATTCCCAGAGTGTATTCTACAGGGTTAAACACTCAGGGTCCGATGCCAGCTTTATGTTCGTGCAAGTGCTGAAGTCAATGGAGTTAAATTAGCACAGACACTCTGTGTCTGAATGGAGAATCTCTCGCTGACTCACCCATATACAACCAGCAAGTATAATGGCAGCTCCATAAATAATATATGAGTGATGGTGAGTGAGAATCACATTGAAAGCATCTTAAGTGTAGCTTTGGATTCATTTTGTCCAAAATGTCAGGAAAGCAGAAAAGTCTGTGCAGCAAACGGCACTGCATTTGCTTGTAAGAGTTACAGATAACAGGGCAAGGTGCTTAGCTGACGCAAATGGGCAAGGAGCCATTGAATTTGGTGCCCCCAGAAGGCTATTCAACTGCTTTCTGCCACAGACAGCAGTGAAAGTAACTTAAAATTTCGTACAGGTACTGTCCTATTGCAACCCGGGTCTCTGCCAGCTCTTTAAATAGCTCCCTGCAAGCTTTTGCCGCTGCTCAGCTCTTGCGCCAGGGTGCACCCACTTACTTTCACCTCTGGCCACAAGAAGAATTTTAAGAGCTCAAGTTCAGAACGGAGAATTTGAGGTAGACACTAGTGACTGTGTCCCAGCTAAGAAGTTATTCAGAAGAGACAGGAGGTTGGTTGGGTTAAAATGGCACCTGCTCTTTCGTCTAATTGGTTCTTCCCCAATGTATAGAGTTTCTCCTTTTATAGCCGAGATGGTCAGAAGTGACCAGTGAGCTTATATTTTTTGGTGCCCAATTTAGGACCTTGAAAAGGGGCTGATTTTCAGAAAGTGCCAAGCAGCTACCTTCTGAAAATCAAGCCCTTTTAAGGCATCTCAAGCTGTTAATTGCTTTTGGAAATCTTACAGTGCATTCAAATGACACGTCCAACTTTAGGTAGACAGAGAAATTCCAAAAGGGGAGATTAAATTTAAATTCCGAGCTGTTCAGTGTCTCCAGTAGCCAGCCGTTCTTTGCCACCTTAGCTTTTTAAGATTAGCCTCCTTTCCTGGGAAGTGGCTGGACACCCAGGAAGTCAGTGAGAATTCTGACACTGTCTCAAGCCATTCGACTGTCTTTTGCGGCATTTGCAGAGAGCAGGAGAGAAAACTTTCTTCAGGCGTTGAGCCAAGTCTGAGGAAACTCCCCCCTCCCTCCCCTGAAACTAATGACTATCACATGGGTTCCCAAACTGGGGGTATGCCCCCCTAACTAATGACTATCACATGGGTTCCCAAACTGGGGGCATGCCCCCCTAGGGGAGCGTGACAAAATTCCAGGGGGGGTATGAGGCGACCCAGAGGGTGTGTGACCCCCCTGTCAATTCCTCCCCCCCTCCCAAGTTTTGCTGCTATTTTTGGTTTTCGTCCCCAGTCCCGTTCAACAAGTTTTACTGGGGGTGGGGGGACATGAGGCTTTCTCAAAAATCAAAAAGGGGGGCATGATGCTGAAAAGTTTGGGAACCACTGGACTATCACAAACCTGGCCACTTTCCAGTCCAAGCACAAGGTGCATTTCCCCCCCGTACCCCCTCTAATATCAATATGTATGTAGCAAAAGGTATATTTAATACCAACCAACCAACCAAATCAAAAACATGAGAAAACAAACCATGCCTGACAGCGTGTAATCCGGTTGCTCAATGAGCTGCTGGAAGGTGCTCAGGTACTGCAGTAATGATCATGCAATAAAAAAATAGACATAGCAGAGCACAGAAAAGGGCACTTGCATTGGTCCCTAGCATAGGATGTGGCCTCTCTCGCCGAGGGAACCCAAGTGTCTAAGTCAGGTTAGGAAACGTAAAAGGTGAATAATAGGTTGCTTCAGTGCTTTGTTATGTGAGGCTGTTTAGAGTTTTTGTAAAATGCGGCAATTTGTAAACCAATCGCATTCCAGGTGCCCAGTTCTAGAATTCCCAGTGGGCAAGTCAATGCCCTTGTGACAGGGTGTTTGCCCTGCACTGGCCCTGTAAGGGCAAAACCCCCAGCCCTGAGTGAGGACTGAGAGCAAAGCCCCAGTGGAGGCAGTTCTTGCTAATGAGGGCCCAGCTGGGGGCTATAGAAAGAAGGACTTCGGGAAGCAGGGGGGAGAACTGACTGCTGGTCTGCCTAGAGAGCAGGGGGGACCTGGCTGCCTGGGAAGCAGGAGGCTTCCTGGAGGTAGAGCAGAGCAGAGCAGGGCTGGGGAAGGAAGACGGTAGGTAGGGTTGGGGAAGCTCTGGCCAAGCAAGCCCCCAGCCTGCAATGCCTGAAGCTACTGGGGGCTGCTAGTGACAGCCATGGTAGGCAAAGGCAGCAGGTCCCCACCCCCTTGCCACTGGTGAGTGGCCATTGCAGACTGCAGTTTGCCCCTGAGGCAGGAGCTAGATGAAGACTGGCAGTGGGTCACTGAGACAAGGTCACTGGGTGTTCCCTGGGAAGAGAAATGGGTGCCCGTTGGGAGGGGAGGACCCTGGAGTATAAAGCTGGATAAACACCTACCCCCGGAAGGGGGCTCAGACACTGGAGTGAGCACTGCTGGAGGGCAGTGGTCTGAAGAGGATGCCAAGGTCCATGAACGACATACGTGTGGACTAGAGAGGGCAGCGAGAACACGGGAAGACACCAGCTAGCGGGAGGCCTCCAGCGAGTCATCAAGCTAATTCCCAGAACAACCATCTGGAGGTGCCGGGGTGAGTCTGCCCCACGATAGCCCTTTTTTAATTTTCTGCTTTGGGATCCTCTGTAAGTTAATTCTCCATCTCTTCCCCATGAATATAAAATTGGTGCCTGTTCTCTTTAACACACACAGACAACTAGTAGGTAAGTTAAGCTGTCATTGAAGGCCATAACATGAAGAACGTGAAAGGGACTGGAAATTTAGTGTTATCAGTTTAGTTAAAATGGGTGAGAGTTATGCCTCTTCTTGAGATTAAAATCTCTCTGGGTTTTATTGACATGAAAAATGAATTAGAGATTGAATGATCTTTGTATCAGACCCTGACTGCATACGTATCCCTGCTTTTTGCCTTGATGATGCTGATTTGTGACAACCCACAGTTGCTCATCTTACATTAGACACCTGAAAGATCCTCCTGGCTTTTAATCCTTTGTTTTAAAAAACTTCATGAAGACTTCAGCACCGCAAGTACCTTGTGCTCAGTGAAAATCTTTTTAAAGCAAGGGGATTCTATACAATGATATTTCTGTTCAAAACACAACAACTTACACTGAATCGGGAGCTGCTGGTCTGTCTTGATCGCTTTTCCGCAAGGAGATCTTTGACTGTGTGCTTTACTCTCACTCCTTGATAAACTCGTTTGCCATAGTCTGTAGGAACTAAACAAAGGGAACACGTGTGAGTAGAATTCAGCCAGTAAATAGAATAAGTGGAATGGCGTAGCAAGGTAAGGACTGTTAAGGTGCCAAGCGTCAATAAATCAAGAGAGCAGTATGCCTAAAAGATTATTGCCTATCTTGCAATAATGCTTAGGAATTCCATTCCTGGATCAAAACTCCATTGTGCTAGGCACTGCACAAACACAGAACTAAAAGACAGTCCCCTGCCTTATGAACTTGTGCAACAAGAAGCTAACAAGAAAGTGCTACATAGTCCTGTATTTTGTTTCAGCTACACCAGACTAACACGGCTACATTTCCATCACTATTCAACAAGAAGCTAGTGAGTGTTGTGATTGTCATTGTGCAGCAGGGAAAAATAATTTTCTTGGTTGCAGGAATCAGGGAGTGAAAGTCTCTAGCCTGTGTCACACAAACCATGACTGGGGATCTTAAGTGAGCCCTTCCGGTCTTAAAATCTGTGGTTGGGTTTGTTTTTCCAAGTTAACTGAGAGGAGTTAGCCATATGGCTTCTGTTCATTTCAGTAGGAACTGTCGGAGTCTCCTACTTGACTTAGACCATTTGGGTTGGGGATTTTTGTCTTTGTTGCAATGACAGTGATACTGCTTGAATTGCTAAGTATCAACACCCAAGTTTCCAAAGCACTTTATTCCCAATGTTCAAACTAAAATACATTCTCATTCCAATGCTTTTGATTAAGTTGTGCTGAGCTCTAGCTAATGAGGAACTAGTGGTTCGGCAAAGTCTGATTCAGCACCAGTCAGGTCCCAAGGGTGCTGGACTAGAGAAGTTCAACCTGTATTAGTTCATTTAAAAAAACCAAACAGACCGACACTGGATGTGAGTTCTGCATACCCGGGAAAGGCCTCTCTTCCCATCACACACTGCCACAACTGTGGTCAGCGAAAGTGTCCAAGCTGATGCCCAGCATTATAAAAGAGAAGGATCTATTACTGTGGTTAGGGTACTGGGCCGCAGGAAATTTCCATTTTAGGTTTTGCCACTGTCCTGCTGGATGACCTAGGGCAATTCATGTCCCTCCCTGTGCATACGAGATGACAGCTAAGGAATATGATTGAGGGGGTTGTCTTTGTGAGGGTCCCAGGACTCTCATTGGTCCAAAACTTGGTGATCTTCTGGGCAAGTTGTGAGAGCCATTTATTTGACAGGGTTTTTTGGGAAGGTTGAGGGGGGTCTCACTGGGGGTGGAGATAAAGGAGCATTTTAATGCTTTGGTGTATCAGCTAGCTGAGTTCATTCATCTATGGACGATCACCATTTGAACATTTAAGTTGAAGTGTTTGGGGCACCCCGGATTTAACGTATGGGCATTTTTTATTGTTATGTAAACCTAAATAAATACATGATGGGCCAGATTCCCCATCAGTGTAAATCCGGGAAACTCCATTGAAGTCAAGGCAGCAACACCAAATGATAGCCGCAGAAAACGTAGCCTTCTCTATCATGTTATTCTTGGGATTGGCAGGTTGTAACTTGGCCCACTATATCTGGCAGCCTAGAAATGCAAATAATTTTAAGCAAGAGCATTGTACTTAATTATTTGTTTTGTTCTGCACCAAACATTTCCCTTGCACAGGGACAGGTGAAACAGCAAGTTGACTTGGTAGAAAATAATTTGTTCTTCAAGGGAACCGAAAGCAGGTGACAGTGGTAAGACAGTCATGGGTTCGGCAAAGCCGTTCTTGAGCAGGGAAATTTGCCCTCGTGCAGAGAGCCAATGCAAGGCCTATGAAACAGTTAATATTAATCAAAGAATCATAGAACACTAGAACTGGAAGGGACCATCGAGTCCAGAGAGGTCATCGAGTCCAGTCCCCTGCCCTCATAGCAGGATCCTCTAGACCATCCCTGATAGATGTCTGTCTAACCTGTTCTTAAATATCTCCAGAGATGGGGATTCCACAACCTCCCCAGGCAATTTATTCCAGGGTTTCACCACCTTGACAGTTAGAAAGCTTTTCCTAATGTCCAAGCTAAACCTCCCTTGCTGCAGTTTAAGCCCATTGCTTCTTGTCCTATCCTCGGAGGCCAAGGAGAACAATACCTTGCTCTTACACAGTGCTTTTCAGCAGTAGATCTGAGAGGCGTACAAAGGAGGGAAGTAGCATTAGCTCTGTTATACGGGGGATGGAGGAGGGGAGTAATTGAGGCCCAGAGAAGCCAAATGATTTGCTCAGAAGGCCAGTGCCAGAGCTGAGACTAGAACGCAGAATTCCTGAGTCCCAGCCCAGTGATCTGTTCTGTAGGCAACACTTAAGTCCCCAGCGAAGCCTGCCCAGGAGGGGTTTTCACCCTATTTGAGTTTTGGAGCGGTAGATCTGGTTTGGTTTCTTTTTTCCCCCAAGTAAATCTCTGCAAAATATTTGTTTGGGTGTTTTAACTATAAATGAGCCCAGTAAGGCTGCAGGGTACAAGACTGAAGGTGACTTTTCTATCCTGTCCACTGGTGTCCGCCCATGTAGAAAGCTCACACCTGTGGAAAGCAGTGGGGAGGTGTTTTTTTAAAAAAAGGCCTTTAGTCAAATGTTACAGATGGGAAGTTGATGTTTGAGTTAATCCTTTGGAAAACAAAAAGATCTGTGTTTCCGGACAGAAAGCAAACACAAACGTACCACAGGGGAAGTGTCTGATCTTTTAAAAATGCTGACTTATCTTGCTACATCTGTGCTTTTCATCATATAGTATTTTGGCTCAATTTCACATTTTAATACCTACAGTATTGATGGCCACAAGTGTATTAAAACTCATTGAAACTTACATAGAGTGAAGTTTGAGGCTTTCACGGTGCAAGGTCTTTGTGTTGGCTCTGGGTCACAGAGGGTGTGTCTAAACTACATGGCTCCGTCGATGGAGCCATGTAGATTAGGCTGATCAGCAGAGGGAAATGAAGCCGCGATTTAAATAATCGCGGCTTCATTTTCCTTTGCCGAACAAACAAATCTACATGGCTCTGTCGATGGAGCCATGTAGATTAGGCTGATCAGCAGAGGGAAATGAAGCCGCGATTTAAATAATCGCGGCTTCATTTTCCTTTGCCGAACAAACAAATCTACATGGCTCTGTCGATGGAGCCATGTAGATTAGGCTGATCAGCAGAGGGAAATGAAGCCGCGATTTAAATAATCGCGGCTTCATTTTCCTTTGCCGAACAAACAAATCTACAGGGCTCTGTCGAGGGAGCCATGTAGTCTAGACATACCCAGAGTGACTAACATTCTCTTTGGCAGGGCATCGGGTGTCTTATTGTGATTATTTATTTTTATTCAAGTAGTGTCTACAGGCCCCAGCCAAGATGGGGGCCTTATGTACATGGGGCTGTCCAGATAAAGAGTAAGGGTATGTCTATACTGCACACTTATTTCAAAATAAGCTATTCTGGAATAGTTATTCCGAGATGTGCTATTTTGAAATAAGCTGTCCACACTGCAAGGAAGCCTCAAAATTGGTCCGAGGCAGGCTTCCCTAAAGTAGACGTGTTATCTCGATTTATCTCGAGGAGGCACAGAGGAGGAATAACTTCAAATGGCCCTAGTGAGGGGCTATTTCGAAATAGCAGCAGTGGAGCGTCTACACACGCCTTATTTCGAAATAGCTATTTCGGAATAGGAGTTATTCATCGTAGAATGAAGTTTATGGATTTCGGAATAAGCCGTCGGGAATTTTGCAATTATTTCAAAATAACGGAATGGCCGTGTAGACGATTGCATTGTTATTTTGAAATAACAGTGCAGTGTAGATGCACCCTAAGAAATCAGCCTTGCCCTGAAGAGCCCTCCCTGCTTCCCCTTCCACCTTTTGTCTATTTACACTATGGCTGTGTCTAGACTGCATCCCTTTTCCGTAAAAGGGATGCAAATTAGACACATCGCAATTGCAAATGAAGCGTGGATTTAAATCCCCCCGCTTCATTAGCATAAAAATGGCTGCTGCTTTTTTCCGGCTCGGAGCTTTGCCGGAAAAAAGCGCCAGTCTAGACGCAGATCTTTCGGAAAATAAAGCCTTTTCCGAAAGATCCCTTATTCCTCTTAAAATAAGGGATAAGGGATCTTTCGGAAAAGGCTTTATTTTCCGAAAGATCTGCGTCTAGACTGGCGCTTTTTTCCGGCAAAGCTCCGAGCCGGAAAAAAGCAGCAGCCATTTTTATGCTAATGAAGCGGGGGGATTTAAATCCACGCTTCATTTGCAATTGCGATGTGTCTAATTTGCATCCCTTTTACGGAAAAGGGATGCAGTCTAGACACAGCAATAGTGTAAATAGACAAAAGGTGGAAGGGGAAGCAGGGAGGGGAAAAGTGACTTGCAAAAGGTCACATAGCAGGTCAGAGGTGGGACTAGCAGCTACATCTTCTGAGGCCCCCTCCCATGGCTGTCTTCCCATTGACTGACTCTGACCCATCCACATCTTAAGCCTTTCCATTGCTACCACTGGGCATTGATTCAGGACTCCAATGAATAGGTTTTTGTTAGTTCTGCTATAAAGCCCTATTTTTAAAGATATTTTCTGAAGCATTAGCCTGAAGCACCAATTCTGAGCCCGGGCACTATTATTTTATTTGCAAATCATTTCTAAAGTGTCTTTGAGTTTCAATAAAAAATGTATTTGAGCTTGTTTTTTCAGCAAACTTTGTTCTCATAGCTTCTTGATTACAAACAAGCAAGCAAAATGTTATATGTGTGCTGGTATATGTATATATGTAAAACGGATTACTTAGCGGTATTTTTAGGAAGTTTAAATATTTAGTTTTAAACTTTTGAGTTGTCTAACTTTAAAATAACAGGAAAAACTTGAAAACCAACAAATAGTCTAGTAGCACGTTAAAGACTGATAAAACATGTAGATGATACCATGAGCTTTCATGGGTGCAGCCCACTTCTTCAGATGACTGGCGTATTAGAAGTCTGGATTCAAGAATAAATAAGGGAAGCGGGAGGGAGAGGGAAAAAAGAGAAAAGGTGT